CTGGATACCTACTTGATAAGTGCACATTGGAAAAATAATCGCAACTCTACATATAAAGTGATGGGGTCTAAATTAGCTATTATCACTCAAGAACCATCTTGGAGACACTGTGGCAGTAAAAGAAAGCTAAAAGAGCATTAGAACCATTAAGAAAGGGAGAGAAAACAAAAAACTTTATAATGCTATTATAAAAATCCATAGTATACCCACACCTTGAATCCTGCATGCAGTTCTGGTTGCCCCTATTTCAAAAAGATAGCTAACAACTGGAAAAGGGAAACAAGAATGAGGATAAGGAACAAATGCCATAAGGAGAAATTAAAAAGACTGGGAACATATAGCTTAGAAAAGAGATGACTGAGGAAGGATATGATAGGTGTGTGTAAAATCAAGAATGTTGTGGAGAAAGAATAAGGAAGTGCTATCTACTCTTTCACATAACACAAGAACCAGTGGCTACCCAATTACATTAATAGACATCAAGTTTAAAACAAAGTACTTCTCTGCATAATGTACAGTCAACCCAAGGGATGTTTTGCCAAGGGATGTTGTGAAGGCCAAAGACATAACTGGATCAAAAATAATGAGATAAGTTCATGGAGAATAGGTCCATCAATGGGCCACTAGCCAAGATGGTCAGGGATGCAACCTAAAGCTCTGCATGCCGCCAAACTTACACCTGCCAGAACCTGAGTGTGGATGACCAGAGAGGACTCAACATTGCCCTATTCTGATCATCCCCATTCATCCTTCGAACCACTATCAGAAGACAAGCTACTGGGCTAGATGGATTGCTGGTCCGACCCAGTATGGCCATTCCTAGGTCCTTAGGATACGAAATCTTGGGCCATGGCAACAACTCAGCTATGGCAGCCTGCCAAAAGTATCACATTGCAATTCAGACTTCTTTCACAAAGGAACATGTTCACTATCATGCCACAAAGCTAGCCTGTGTCTCATGTTTTTCGAATTTATTTAAAAAGAATGAAGGAAAAGATGATAAACAGCTAAGTTTCAAGTTGGGGGGGGAGGGGGAGAAGAGGGAGAGATTTTACTGCAAAGATTGGCATTAGATTGTTTCATATAACATCTTCACTAAAGCCCTGGGTATGAAGTAAACAGCATGAATTGGATAATATTTAAAGGAGTTACAAATGCCAAAGAAAAATGATACAAAGGGATCTAGAAGGATTAGAAAAATGGGTCAGAAAATAACATGAGAACTGATTTCGAAAACTGCAGATGTCTGAGGAAATGCAATCCAAAATATATGAACAATGAGGAGGGGGAATTCAGAAAGCAGTAATTCTAAAGGAAACCTAAGAATAATCATGTGTAGAAAATTAAATACAGTAAAACTCCATTGGTCCGGCATCCAATGCTCTGGCACTCCTGATCGCCTGGCACCATCAGGAACCCACAAGTGCTCCAGCTGCCGGACAACTGGAGCTGCTCTGCACCTGGCTTCCCTGATTCAGCCACTGCTGAAACTGACCAGCAGCTGAATTGGGGAAGCAGGGGGCAGAGCAGCTGGGGTGCTGCCAGGTTGGTCCCATAGCGCCGCCCCTGGGCGCTGCGGGACCAACCCGGCAACACCCTAGCTGCTCTGTCCCCGGTGTCCCCAAGAGCAGCTGTAGTGCTGCCGGGTTGGTCTCGC